ATGGTATACCGGGCCCTCCTAGTTTAATGGTTGTTGGTGAAATGCCATCAGATCCCAGCGTGGAAGATGGTCTGATTAATTTGATAAGTTGTTGGATAGCATTGAGCGAGATATCGACTCGGCTTAAGAGGTTTGTTTCTGTGAGCTCTGTGCACACAGGCACCGGGTCAGCTTCGCGACTCATGGTAGTGGCAAAATAATCACTGAATGCTTCACAGATTTCAGCTGGGTCATGGAGTAATTGACCCTCACCATCAACAATTTCGGTAATCAGAGGAGAGCGGTCAATGGTTCTATGACGCAGTAATTTGACAAGCTCCCTAGCTTTGCAGCTTGTCCGTAGGGCTGTATGTTCTTCATTTTTTCCTCGTGTTAATTGCGCGTCTTTGACTCTGGTGGTAAATTCATGCATTTGTAAGACACGTGAAAAGTCATGGGTCGTTCTGTATCTTGCAGCTAGCGTTTTGGTTTTCTTGCTGATTAAGTGCTCGACGGAATCTTTGGAGATATGAGGGGTATGAATACATTGTGAATATATTGTAATTATGACGAAGAACCGGATCTTTCAGAAATAATCAAGTGTTTTGGTGATTATTGTGAGGGCCTATCAAACTTTTTCGTTCGCTGCTGCCGATCGGCTAACCTTAGCTCATTTAATGTTGAGAGTCAGCTAGAAAAGCAAGCGATTTCAATAAATAACTGGTGGGATCGCGAATAGCATGGACGGATTATTGCGACTCCATCAATTCATGAACGAGTAGTACCGTTAAAACTTGATTCAATGGCCACTGTTCGAGACACACTGCACCGGAAGGCAGTTCAGTGCAACACGGAGTTGTCACAAAGGGTGGAACAACTTGATGCTACATCCGAAAGGAAAGGCTGCGGCGAAGGTTTGCAAGGAGGTAGCAAATCTACTTATCAAAGTAAGAGAGGCGCATGCGGATCTTTGTGTAATGCTACTTAGAAACATACCCCTAAAGAATTCGGCAACACTCCGGTACAGCTTATATTCAAGCACAAAGCAGACAGTAAGCTCGCCCGCAGTGGAAGAGACTACGGCAACTGCAATACACGAACTACGAAAAAAGAAGGATGTAATAGTGGCTGGAAGCTGAGGCAGAGGGACTCGCCTGCCTCAGTGCGGTCGACCAGGCGATCGATCGAGTGGACGCGTGAGTTTTAAGCATACGGCTAATTGCACTTTGCCTCATACTTGGAACTAGGGCGTCTGTGTTCAGAGTCGGTGCGAGTTCTTTCTGTAGACGCGGCTGGGTGAACCAGTCACAAAACACCCATGTGGACCGAATCACTGGAAGCCGGGCTGGAGTCCGCCGTGGTCGTGATTGCATCGCCCACATATTTACTCTTCGCCAAGTTGTAGAATACGGACACATATAGACGACGGACTATGATGATTTTCCTTGACTTCAAAGCCGCCTTTGACTCTGTTGACCGCGCCAGCTTGTGGCACTGCCTATCCATAAAGAGCGTGCCAGCTAAACTCCTTTCCTTTCCGAAATCTCTCTACTGTGATTCCCGATGCCGTGTTAGGGTATCCAGAAAACTCTCCTGAGTTCCTCACGACATGTGGAGTTCATGAAGGTTGTCCTATATCTCCTTTCCCCTTCAACTTTGTGATCGAAATGCTCATGCATGACTCCGTTCTTTCAAACTATTCTGGAGTGGAACTTCTGTCGGTCGACCGACTGACAAACCGAGTATGTGAACAACATAATTCTCCTAGGTTCTGATGCATTGGCTATGCAAACACCACTGCACAGACTGACGCTAGCGCTGCACGCTTTAGCATGAATTTTGCACCTTCAAGCTGCTGTTGCCAGACTTTACCGACACCCCTCCGATTTTAACTATTTCCGAACATCCACTGGAAGTGGTAGATCGGTTCACTTACCTTGGCAGCTAGTTGTCACATCACTGAATAGGTTCGCGTATCATCATGACCCGTGTGACTTTTCAGAGACTCAACCATCTATGGTGACGGCAGGATATCAGCTTGTCAGTGAAAGGTGTGGTGTCTAACGCTGCGATAAGGTCTGTGTTACTGTATGGATCGGAGACCTAGGTACTTCATGACGAAGACATTAGACACTTGGCGGTGTTTGACCATCAGTGCCTGCAGAGTATTGCTCACGTCTGGTGGGAACACGAAGTGAGCAATGCTGTGGTCTACCAGTTGCGTTTTGACAATAAGCCTTTTGATGTCTCTCTCGGATATTTGATAAATCTTAGTCGCTTACCTTGGTTAGGTCACGTCCTCCGTATGTCCTTTGATCGGCTTCCTCGGCATGCATTATACACTGTGGCCGCACCAAGTTGGGCGAAAGCGCGAGATGGTCAGTTCATGACGTGATGTAGAAGCTTTAAGAAATTGACTGAAAGACTTGGTTGGACTGCTGCCTGTCGTCTTCCTGGATGGGGACCTCGGGACGGTTCCTTTTAATCGTTAGAGACCCTGTCAGACATAACGCAATTACGAAGTCAGTGGCGTTCCTGCATTGGACTTCTTTCATCTGGTTGTTAATTTTCGTTCCTGTTATAACGCTGTACCCTCAATCGACCGGTTGATTCACGTCTGTTTGTAAATCTGCGCCCTTACGCCTGCTCTGTTTGACGCCTTGACAAACCCGACAAGAAAGAAGACAGAAGACTCAGCAGACCAGAGTTGTATTAGGACCGAGAACGCTCATATTTATATGTCGGTCTCACCAATCCTCTAAACATCGCCTGACGGATTTGGCTGTAAGCCCACGTTCCACACTTGATTGTCCGCACCGTCTGGCCAGTTCGCCGTCTTGCTCGGGCAGGCCAGTGTTCATCTGTCTCCCCCGGGGCATGGCAACGTACGTGATGTCTGATGCTCGATTTCATCAGCTTTTGGCTGAGCCCTGGTAACATGCTCGCGGGGTCTGTCCCAAGCATGTTTTGTGGCGAACACGCGCGCGTTGGCAATCAGCTTTCTCGCCCAGCTGTCAGTTCCATTCTTATTAATCTAACGCATTTCCTTCTTGTTTTCTTTACATTCTATTTGCACCCAGCCCCACTATCCTACCCTTGGTATTTCTTGTGAGTCGTGGCAACTTGATCCACTGCACTTCGGTGCTCGGATCCTAGTTGTTCAGCTGAACTGAATTGAATGACACCCAAATAGACCATTTTGCCATCAACTGCAAATGGTGCACGTTGGTTCGGAACTTTCAGATAATGTTATGTAGCTACTTGACTGCGTCCATGTTATATTGAGCGCACACAGCTTCAACAGAACGCCCAGCTTCTTGCCTTCTCTCTTGCGCCCTGGACTCACAGTTTGCAATTCAGCAATTTCATGACGATATGGCTCACCGGTTTCCAATGGTCTATTGGATTGATGAGCTGAATACCAGCCGGACACATCTCAGATGTGCTAGAAGGAGTGCGTCTGAAGTCTGCTCTACCCTCTACTCGATATGTTCGAATTATAAATGAATTTCTGGGGCGTCGATTATTTTGACTGGGGCACCTATGCAGATTACATTTTGTGTTGAGTTTCTGCTTGTAGAAAACACTGGAGCAATAAATGACTGCGTCTTGAAACTGGCGGGGAGCTTTTGTTAGTCGCAAACGCCCGTGAGATGGAGGAATCCAGGGCTATTGAGAGCAGTTGAGTGTTCTTTCTACCCGTCAAGACCACGTGTCCAGGAAAACCCTCAGTGAAACCATCGCTGAGAATGATGGACAGTTGCTCTATTCTCAGTCGCTTGGGCTGGCCGATTGGACGAAGCATCCTGTGGAACAGTTAAGCAGATCTTCGGCAACATTCCCACTTGCTGAATCCCCTGTTCTCATCGTTTATTGCTATCACCCAGCAGCCACTAGAAATAGTCCATCGGTTTAACTTAACTGAGTAATTATGTCACTTTTGCTGACCACATCACTGAGGTTACGTCGCGTATCAGCAAGGCCCGTGCGGCTTTCCGGAGGCTCAAACACCTATGAAGGTAGCGGATATCAGTCTGATAGTAAGAGGGATGTTGTATAACGCCTCGATAAGGCTGTACCACTGACCGGTTCGCACTGGCGACATCATCCATGCGGAGTATTGCTCACATTTGGTGGGGACACCGGGTAAGCAATGCAGAAGTCTGCCGGTTGGTTTTTGGCAAGAAGGCTTCTGGTGTTTGTTAAGGTTTAACCACTAAGTCATGTTGTCCGTACGCCCGTTGACCGCCTTTCTCGGCGTGCGTTATGCGCCGTCGCTGTACTAATTTTAGCGAAACGGCGAGGTTGCCAGTCGAAGACGTGGCACAAAAGCATGAAGAAATTGACTGAGTGACTTGATCAGGCTTGTGTACGTCGTTTTGTGGACGGGATCTTCAGAATGGGACCGTATCAGCGATTAGCTACCCTATTGGACAGTATGTGGTCGTGCAATGTGGTGCTCCTTTGCCCAGTTTCTTGCATTTTACCTTTAATCTTCGCTTCAGATTATTTCAATCACTACTCCGTTGTATTCTCTTTATGTGCTACTGCATATTCTTGCCGCCGCTATATAATTTTATCCTAGTGGTGGAGATTGCGGCAACTGAATTCACGACGTTTTGGTTGCAGGTTCGTAACTGTTTAGCAGAACTGAACGGTTCGCAGAATTCCACATCCTGCTAGCTGGGAGGAACTACGCACGCACTAGACTTTTAATCTCATTCCGGCTGTCCTTCAGTAATCTCCCATGTAGCCTACGTTCCTTGGCCATCGTTGAAGTGGGGGACATGGTTAGAACGCTTCCCTCATGCTTAGCTTTACACGTGTCTTGCTTAATGTTGAAGTGGTCGCAGACAGTGCAAAGAGTTATTTCTTAATTCTTTGGGTACTTTCAATTCCTGTACAAAGCTTATTTACTGGATCATTTGTAACAGTTAACTCGTAACCAGTATACTTCTGAACTTAGAACCTGTACTGTTTATAAAATACACGTCAGAATTCGCTGCATATACTAATTCCAGAGCGCCGAATTTCATGGTTCTCCGGATGACTCGCGTGACACGAGGAAACTGACGCGAAAACGTTCCACTCCTTCAGCTGTAGCCGATACCGCTTGTTCCGAATATCCTACACGCTCGTCCAGTCTCGGCCGTGCTGCAAACCTCGATCACAGCGATAGTGCTCATTCCGATCAACATTCTTCATTTGGTCCCGCGCCATCCCGACATCAACTCCCACGCCGACCACAACCGCGAGCATCCTCGAGCAATTCGGCTGACAGCAAAGATGATGATGAGAGGTCACTTTCCGCCTGTAGCAGGAAGCAAAAGCGAAGTGAGTTCGTCCTCAAATATTGTGATGGTCCAATTTTACACTTCTCTACATAACAGTTAGGCACGGTGCATCTTGCAGACAACTCGCCTATCATGTTCGCCCTCTATTCCCCTTACTCTCGGCTACTGCATTACTGCACCTTGATCAACTGCGACCGCATACTATCATTTTTGATTGTCGCTATTGGCACCACACCGATGCTCGTCGACTTTTCCTCATGGTAAACTACACGTAAAAGATGGACTAAACACGATGCAAAGCTTACCAGAACGCCCATTTCCCAGATCTACTACCATAATTTTGTACGTTATTTGACCATCAAACCTATGGATTCGGCCATATTTCCGCTTAAGTCTATATAAATAAATCACGAGTTCGACGTCACTTTGGCGACCTGTTTCATTCCCTTATGGGTCAGTCTGTAGAATTTGTGTCTGTTCTGCGAAGTGGAGTTTTGAATATTCGTGTCGTGACTACGTTGTTATTTCGACACTAGTTGTGCCAGCTGGACTGTAACCCGTATTTCGACGATTTACATGCTTCTGTGTTCCATTAGATTATCCAGAATGGCACTTTCTTTGCACCTTCAGAACCACTCGGACCAGGTGAATCAAAGTTTAGAAGTCAGGTGACTCTACATGAACCTCTTCCTCATTAGATATTGCAAAGAAACGAGCGGCCCTCCACTCTTAAATGGACAAATAGTCAGGTTTTACTGAACTGCATTCGCGCGGAGCACGGCCGCAGCTCTTGAGGAAGTCCGTCTGGGCCGGCAGCCTTGATTCGTTTCAAGTGTCGAATCGCAAGACATGCTTCCGCTTCGCCGGGTGGATCAACTGATGACCCAAGGCGGACAGCTGGGTTCGCAGGGCATACAAATGGACGGTGAGGGCCACTTCAACTGGGAATGAAAATGTTCGGCTCATCGATCCAAGCGTCTCTGTAGGTTGGCAATAGGCGAACCATCCCCCTCGCAAATAGTCTCACTGACACCAGGTTTACTGGGGCCAGTGGATCGAGTGAACTGGAAGAGCTTATGATTTTTGGAACAGAGCGCGACGGCCTCCATTTTCGGAGCTTGTTGAGACCACCAGGCTTCACGATCACTGCGTAGGCTTTGTTTGAGCTGTCAACTGACAGAATGGCGCAACATTATGATTAGACTCCGCAGGGGTATTTCTGCGGCGGTCAAATAGATCCAAAGGACGCATGGAAGTCCAGGCTTTCATATGGTGTTGAGTAAGACCACAGACTAACTGCTCGGAAGAGATCGTGGTCTTCTGCTTGAACATCCAATGTTCATCAATACCTTGTGGTAGGTCGCAGCCGGGTGCACCGGCCAGGGAAGCTTGATAGCTCTGCTGAACTGAGAGAGTAGATATTTTATTTGTATCTAATATACAGTGCTTCTTATTCGGGTCCGCCCGAAACTCATGCAGTTGTCTGCACAAATAAGAGCATGATCTGAGTCAAGCAAAGTGGACCAGATGGATCTGCAATCCTTTACACTACCTCTCCATCTGAAACTGATTGCGATATGATCAATCTGAAACCATGAATGAGACGCAGAAGTGGGTCGCCAAGTAGCAGCACGTCTCGACTGCCAAAGACTGGTACTCTAAAGAAACAGATGATAATCTTCGCACAGTGTGAGAATTCTCTCTCCATTATCTGAGTGGCTCTCATCGAGCGCATGGTGACCACCGAGGTGACTTTCGCATACCAGCAGACGACCGATTGGTGCATTGAGATCCCCAGCAAGAACAACAATGTCGAATTTGCAGGCTCTGCGCAAGAGCTGATGAAGTTCACGGTAGCAATCGTCCTTGACAGAGTCGGAACTGTAGTCAGTTGGAGCGTAAGCTGAGATCACAAACAAGTTGCCTCTCTCCTCACGACATCGGTTTATATTGCATGATCCCCGAAGCCGAACTGCACATGGTCGGCTATTAATTGGGAACCAGTTCAGCAGTGCGGCCTCGGCTTTGCTACTTAGTGCTACACCAATCCCAGCCAAGGTTGTCGCAGATGCTTCCGTGTCACCAGATAGACGTAGGCGAAATATGGCTCCGTGGTCGGTAGATGTCAACCCAACACAGTACTGGGATCTTGTAGTCGGGTCTCGGAATGACAGCAAACATCGATGGGACGAGACTCCAATGTGCGCGCGAGACCATCCTGTTGCCCGATGTGCATGAGTGTACGTTCATTGAAGCATGTGAGGCGGAACGGGGACCGAGGCTGAAGGGTGGCCACTGGGCGAATTCTGTGGGTGTCGCCGGAACGATCGGGAGTAGAATCATGGAAACAGGTATCAGCTGGTAACAAGTGAACAGGTGGCTTGTGAAGGTGTGTGAGTAGCAGGAACAAGAGCAGCTGAGATCGATATAACAGATGAACAGTCCATGGTTTTGTTAGTCGGCGCGATACTGCCCGCTTATCCAAGCCGAAGTAGGGAATTGTCTTTGGGACCCCACCCCGTGCTTTTGGCTAGATAGCCTGCCCCCAAGACAGCCGCGCGATTTCAGAGAATCGTGCCCATTGAGAGTCGGTGATTGAATATTGAGTTCTGACTTATTTCGTTTGCTCGGTTACCAAACAGCGGCCTAACCCTCCCCATGATATCAGCACATTTGCCCACAGAGGCTGTGACTTTATTTAGTGGCCTGTCGCATCCGCCACGTCGCAGTATTGTTAAACAAACATTTGTGGCTTTTTATAGGGTGAACGCAACAACATCCATTTGAATGACAGCCGTAGCCAACGAGCGATGCGGACAGACGAGATACCGATTATAATCGTCTCTAAAGCACTGTGCTACAGTTGCTCAGAGTTGTTTTCTCACTTGGTGTATGGGTTTCCGTATACCCGATTGCTTTGGTTGTGCTGAATACGGTGCCGAGAGGTGATCAGTTTATCTTCATTCGCAAAAACTGGCTTGTCTAGGAGGTAGCAGGGAACGTTGCTGGAGGTTACCGGCTCATGGGATTGCCAAGACTGGCGTCAATAGGAACATCCGAGTTCTGTTCCAACTGATCGTTGGCCCAGATCCACGGGAACTACCCGCGCATTTTGCGTAGGTTGAAGAAAAACGTTTGATCCCATTTGTGTCTACTTGGATACTCAGTTAAAGGCTTCTGGGATCAATTTCGATAATTCTCTGGGTGATTAAGTTTACTCCCTTCGCAATAGAAACCCAATACGCGTTGGTATCGCCGAAGTGCAACAAGGCGACTGCTCCCACTCACCGGTTCTGCACCATTTGGCGCACTAGTGACGTGCTCTCGGAATGGTGGTTTTCACCACCGCTTCACCTTTAAAAGAATCTAAGGGGCATCTTATAAAACTCGTGTTTTCTCTTATTGCCTTTGTGTTTGTGTGTATTTTACTTCCGTGATTCATTGATATCCTTGGGCGTGGGATGAAAAATATCCCGACTTTACATTAACGATCCTTTTATGCCTCTTCCGGTGGTTAGGAAAATCTTACAAGCAACTTGTCATTACGTGCTTAATTTACTCGAAGGTTACCTCATTTTCACTTGGTCACACCTGTGTTAGCATAGTGTGCCTGAGACATTTTTCTACTCTGAAACTTGTGTGCCTGTGTTCCGCTATGATATCTTTATCCTGCTATTCCCATTCCTCTGTGCACGAGAAACCATCCTGTTTTGTCAGTCTGGATTTATCAGGACTTTTCTATCTCTCCATATCTCTCTTCAACTTTGTTGTCGCATTACTCATGAACGGTTCCGTCCTGTCTTTTTGTGGTATAGAGATTTTTTTAGACGACAGACTTATACTCAGGGCATACGAACGACTTTTCTACCTGATCGTTCCAGGCCAGCGCAGTTGACTAGACCAACACGCAACATTGTACGCTTAGGTCTGTGCTCTTCCAGGTCGTATGGTTTTGCTAAAAAAACGAACCGAACAAGTACTATTAGTGGCCGGTCTATTCATGTATATGAATTGCCATGTAACCTGTGTTGGTTAGTTCCTGCATAGCCTCAGTTGTGAAGCATGGCCTGATATATCACTGCATGTCACCCATGCAAGAGCATGGATTCTTCTGTACAAGTTTATCTGTGCCCCTATAGACACAGTTTTTCTCATCAAGAGTAATACACCTATTATTGTTGTTATTGTTATTATTATATGGAAATTGCAGCTTACCAACTGAAAGTGCACTTCACAGATTTTGAAATAGCAAGAAGAATCTACAGTTTTACACTGAATTCAAGTATTTCCAGTGTTTTGCTCAGCTGTTTACATACATTGCGTGAAAGTATCGCGTTGCGTACGAAAGGGAAGCAATGGAGCATGGTCGCTAACGGTCCCAAACTGCCCGCTAGCTCTTTTGCGTAACACATCCTGGACTGCACTACGTGCCAACATCCTCGTGTTTCGTTTAAAGTAATTAACCTGCAGTACAATGCCCGATTATTTCAGTTTATCTAAGCTCCAGCTATTTGGCGGCTGAAGCCCAAGTTGTGCGAGCAGACTGAACTTATGACCTGTATCGCCTTACCTTGGTGAGGTTTTTGACAGTTTTTCTTTGAATTGAATGACCTTGCACTTTGCTTTCATTTTTTACGCAACGCGATGCTTTCACGAAACGTGTGTACGCAGCTGACAAGAATACTCGAAATATCTGAATTCAATGTACCCTGTTGAAATATTTTTTCTTCTTACTATTTTAAAAGTACATTATACAACGCTGTGTGTGCGTGAGACATTGTCACTATGTGCCGGATATTGGTTATGTTGGATTATTGATGTCTACAAAGCGTCACATGTATACGGTAGCAGTTCTGGATGTTTTATACCAATTTCTGTCGGTTGACTTTGACCACACCTTCCGTTACCTCATTTGACTGTCCGTTGGACTCGAATCACGTTCGTTTGCTTGGTCATGTCCCTCGCATACTTGCTAACTGTTTGCCTCGGCGCGCGAGTTTCCTGAAGTGGCCAGTAGATGCAATGGCAGTAGAGCACGGAAGGAATAACCGAAAGCTCGAATCGGCGCAATGGCTACTCTTTCTTGCATGTATCCTTGGAATCTGCCATTGCAATCTTTTGAACCCCTATCGGGTATAGCGCAGCCACAAAAGCAATTGTTTTTAATACTCGCTTCAAATCTCTTTTTGTCTTTTCTCTCCACCGCTTTTAGCGGTTTGCTTGTTTCTCCCTATTTGTTTTATTGCATCTAAATCCAGTGCAGCCTAGTGCACCCATCCTAGTTTGGCCGAACTTTCGGTTGACTGCAGTGTTCAGACTTCTCAAGTTAAGCCACTTGCGACCAATTTCTTGCACAAATTATGCTTTGTCCTCGGAAAGTGCCTCATCTATGTCTCGACGGTTTGTGAATCATTGACATACGCGCTCAAACGATCATATATCTTTTGCCACGTAACTTGTTTTTCCGTTTCGCTTAATACTTTAACATTGCGCCTTGTTTCTTTGCTCCTCACCTTTTCGGGTCTTATCTCGGTTTAGGCCATCACCATCATCGACACGCGACCAATTCCGCTGGAACTTCACCACATTCTTCTCTATCCAGTGACGTCACTGGGGCACCCTCCGGCTCTTCAAGGCATAGTCGGAAATGATTGTTAAATCAGATGCTACTTTTCATCTCTGTACATATTGTTGTCAATGTGTCCACTACTCTTGACATCTTAATGTTCCTTCTTCTCAATCTGTGCCCCCTGCATCGAGTACCAGTTGGTTATGTATTCAAAACGACCATTCGAGACAAGATAATTTTCCTAGATCACTTTTGCAGTTCTGCTTTTACTCATTGGGTATCTAGAATAATATAGTGCGTGACACTCCGTGGCCAACCAATCATCCCTCCTGGCTCTCGCAACTCTCTCAATCCAAATCCTCCAGGTTGTTAATTGGCATTTTATCAGCCCTTCTCATTTGTGAAAACATGTAAGCCTTTGCTTTTCCCATCGTATTTTTGCCATCCGCGCACCTAGCGTCTAAAATCCAAGTTCTAGGTGGTATGACCATCGGCTGTATGATAACTCTAGTTTTCGCTCTTCCTCGTTTGTTGCGACAGTAAAAAGCGGATTACGCTTTTTCATGGCAACTCCGCTTTCCTGGTCGATTGGTTGCTTCTTACTGTTTCGATGTACTTATGGGCTTTAACATGTTCTAATCCGCCTGAGCTATTGTGTTCTTCTTCTTGCACCTTTCTTTATTTCTGCACATTTTGTATAAGCACATGCCCCGTGTACTTTTGGAAGCCGCTCTCCATACACACTTGCGAACGTGGACAATGCTTCTGTGCGTCTTCGAAAGCCGTTCCTTAATGATCAATGACAAGAATACACTGTAGGGCTTCTATTACCGCGATCCAGTGGGATCGGTACCAGGAATTGTAGGCATGTCAGCTCTTTCTCGACAATTTTCTTCGACTTCTCGATGCCCGTCCACTCGCTCACTTTCGTCGCCTATGAGTATAATATGGTAGCAATATATGACAGGGTCGCGGTGGATCATTCGAGGTTACCATTAAATTTTCGGCGCAGGCACTCCGTGTAGAATTTACCTGTTCCTGATGCTCTTACTTCTGCTCTAGTCTCCGGTTTACTCGCATCAGCATTGGGGACTTTTCCTCTGGCCAATAGGCTGATGTCGTTTCTAGTGTCACAGGCATTCGATGTTCTTTTCGCTTTGGACAGCTGTCGTACACTTGTACCGACGGGTGCCTCTTGTGTTTGGCGACATCTGCCTGTTGGCTGTAGATATGTGAAAGCCGCCAGCGATTCTCACTCATCATAGTATCCTGACAGATTATCTTCTACCTGGTGGTATGTTCCCATCTCGCTGTTGCGATGTGTCTGTCCATTTGTATCTTAAAATAGTAGGTTTTGCTTGTGTTTTTGCTTACTCCGGTGACTCCGAACGCGTTTGGTCAGTGTTTTCAACGTCCTGCCTACCGGTTTTTCCTTTACACTTGACGCTACGTATCCTTTATATCCAGTTCGCATGTCGTTCCTATTCCACATATTCCCTTTTTTACCGCCATATTTGAAGAGGGGATGAGCGTATGTACACTGACGGGTCAAACGCTGCATCCCACACTTTCCGCGGAGGACCCAGATGCACTCTTCCGCAGTGATTTAAAGTCCGTGGACCACAGGAGCGGGCTGTATGAAACCGGATTGCTCATGATTTAGGCGTTCAAACGCAGCTTCTGCACTTGATGTGAGAAGATCGCTACTCTTCTCTTCCCATTATAAGACCAATATTGGAATATGGCTCACACGCCTATTGTGCAATTATCCGTTTCGAGCTGCGGAAACTGAATCGTGTTCAGCATTTCGCTACCATGTTCATCCCCAGTTTACGGGGTATGTCGTACGAAGACCGACGCAGGAGACTGGGGCTGTACACTTTGTCGTATAATCGCTTTCGAGTGAATCTCATAATTACGCACCGGATATTGTATCTGAGTCACTTTCCTATGCTGAGAACGCTTCCGCAAGTGCGCCCACCATGTTTTATTGGCAGGCACAGGTACATACTTTGAGTCTTGAATTTGAAGTGGATTGTTCCCCGTCGAGCGGGTGCATTTTCGAGCATTGAGTAGAGAATTATGGGAAAAATTCGTCCGAGAGTGCATCTCTACTAGATAGGATGTCGTGCGGCTGAATTATGTTGTGATTATTCCGCGTGTGTATCCAATATTATGTAAATGGAGCAAAACGAATATGTCTTCCAATTCACTATTTCCCACATACTCAATTCGAAGTTTTATGGCTTAGTATGGCATCGTTGTGGCTGCTACTGCTGTGCCTTTCCTACTGGTTGTCCACATTCATCATGTGTCCGTCTTCCGTTCAATCATTCACTGATTGATCTAACCGATGCGTTGTACACAATGTCGCTTGGGATATACTTTGGCTCCTGTTGGTCTGACATGTTGTGATTTACACTACGGGTACATGTCAGATACTGAGCGTCGGTTCTGCCCTTGCCAGACGGTAACACCTACCAACTCTAATTGGAGCTCACCTCTGTTCCCTATAATTTCAACACTACTTTATCATACTCAAAAGTGGGCGAATCAATTGAATCGGATTTTAGAGCAAGTCGAGGACTCGTCCATTTAGAATCCAACATACTGATTCGCTTTCATTGCCACATCCCTGCCTGGCACTTTTTTCCTAGTCTTCATTTTGCTTCTACTAGACTTGCTTACTCGAGTTTTTCTAACTGCATTTAGCCTCACACAGTTTCCCATCACCTCGTGACTAGGTCATACTTGGTGTGCTGTTTGTACGTTTGCATCACAACTCTTCATCAGCTGGACTCATCGGCTTTAGCTAGTTTTGTTAAGTACAGCACGTAGCTCGATGAACGAATACAGAACGTGCAGTCGTGGCACGAAACCGTTTAATGAAAGCCTCTTACATTATGTCAGGATTAGATGTTAGTCATACTAAGCTGGCGCGTAGCCAGACAGCAGAGAGTAAGACGTGTAAATAGTTTATTGTACTCAACACATAACGCGGAGCGGTTCACAGCGCAAGCATCGCAGATTGGCGTGAATACACGCGCATACAAAATCGACACGTTTTAGACCAGTGTAAGTCATTGATCCTTAATCAACATGTGACACTTTACAGTGGACAAAAATGCCGTAATGAAAAGCCAATGAAATAAGGAAGTTAAGGCGAGGTCAACCAGCCAACTGTGTTCACGATCGATGATTTGACGACTTCCGTATCTGGATTTGCCTGTCACTGTGACCTCCATGGGGACGGACACAGGATGCCTGCGCCTACAAAGGGACCATGGGTGACTTGCGCTGCACCGTCCACAGTTCCACCCACACACCCCGTATCCCGTGTAAACCCGAAGGAATAAGACCGGGAGGCATGTGGATGCCGGCCCACACTCCTTCAACAAGCAGAACAGAAGTATTCCGGCCTAATTGGGAAATCATGCACACCCAACGTACACATGCTGGTGGCTGGACCGTAGCCTGTTCCACAAAGGATGGAACCACTCTTTGAGCCTAGAACCGTCACGAGGACGGTGCACTCCGTCCCCTCCAGCAACGACCAACTGTCTCCTGGAGCCAGTATGAACGAGTTAGTGGGTAATAGACAGGTAGGCACCTTGTCAACATTCACGTCAAGCGCATCCACACCAGGGAGTTCAAACAACATCTGCTTCTGAAATGCAGGATTACTCATCACGTAGGCAAACGTGCCACATACGCCGCTCTATTGGCCTGGATTACTAAATCCAATGGGAGCGTACTCATGGTGCTTCTATCCCGCGTGCAATAGTGCCTTCTCCTGCACCTGAGCAACCGCCCTTTTGAGAAGTCCACGGAGTTCGCATCGATCCAATTTGCCTTGGATTCGCAACACCTGAAATCAGCATGAGTGTCATAAACTCACCTACTTCATGTCCTGGTAATGATATTTCGGTTTGCACGAGCGCCGCTTCTTTGCACTAAGTTGGCCGTACAAAAGCGGTATGAGTATCCTCGTCGAATTCATTCGGTATATATATATATATATATATATATATATATATATATATATATATACATGGATTAGCAGTTCGAATACAACATATGCACATGCCTTTCTCCGGATTTAATTACGAACTACCACAAACTGGATAGAGACACTAGACCTCATGAACAATAGTACTACAAACTTGTATGGGTTTCGTTTGGAGGTCAGGCTAACGGTTACTTACACAGGCATGAGAATAAGTATCCAATACGAACTGTTGGTGTTCGCCTCTTATGGCCTATTTGGCACAACTACCACAGTACTACATCAACTAAGTCCTGCTGACCACTGTCAAACTTGCGGTTTCCCGAACAGTGTTCGCACTGTTTCGCAAATGTCCAACACATAGCATGGCTGTCATCCAAGTACCCATCCGTTTGTACATACCGTTGTGTATCCTGCTGTGGCCGTGCTATTTGGTTACGATCTACGTCATACACCTCGGGTGCAACCATTAGGTGCTCCTGAAATAAACAATTGTCGCTATATCCGCCGATTCCTTTCTGAGGTAACATACTACAACACTGACGTGCCATTGCCGTTGGCATTACCTTTTTCTTAGTGAACCCAGAAGATTGACCCCGTCTAATACAACTTCTAGTCGGTGCCTCTTAGACTGGTGCAATAATGCAACTGCATTGCACCAAGTCAGTAGTTAATCATTCTAGATAGCAACTGTACCCAAGCGATACTTACATTAGCGATGGAATAAGGATGACAAAGAAAATGACGGAGCGTGAGTAGGCAACTGTTCAGGTTTGCAGGGAAATGGTGCTCTGGAGTCAACTGATTTTCATAGGCCCAGCTGAGTTAAGGTTGTCGGATGAAGAACGGGAATTACAGCTCTAATCATTCTAACAGATTTAATGTGAAACAGCATGACACATCAGCATGTTAATCACCAGTCAGTTACTTGCCGGGACTGTTCACTTTCCACGGATGTTCTCGAGCGATTTATCTTTGAACGCATGATCCACCTTGATCATGTCCATCAAATTTCCAACTTGTTACTAAAGCGAGGAACCATTGGTTTTACCTACTGTAATAGGTGAAGTGTTTGGAGGCTATGGTAATGGTAAGGTACGGTAAAATAAGGCACCATGAGGTAAGTCAGTGTAGCCCAACTGCGATGAAGAAGCATGGTATATGCAACATCAAACCTCATCATAGGAGCACTCGTATGCGGGTATCTGTGTTCGGATTACCAGTAGGGCGAATACAGTGCGCC